ATCAGGTAGACGAAATTGAAATGAATTTGAAAGTTAATAGACCACTTAAAAATAAAACATAGTTTCTAGACTAAAATGAAATCAAGGTGATAGTTAATAGACTAAAAATTAAATTAAACCAATTTGATTATTTGTCTCTAGTTTCAGACAAGTTACTTTCAGTCATGAAGTCATGGCAAGTTGCTATCCTGGCTGACGTATCTGCTGATAACATGACATATCCAAGTTGGCAATTAGTATTCTCTCTTCTTGTTGAAGATAAGGAGATAAGGATTATCAGAAAGAAAAAAAAAAAACCAAATAGTTCTGAGGCATGATATCACTATCCTTAAAGATTCAAAAACCCTCCAGGATACAACAGAATTCAAACTCTCTCAAATTAGATGTAGAACTTTTGACTTTGCTTAGGAATTTATATTGATTGAAAAGCCATTACTTGTAGGGATGTATCCCTCCAAAAAGATACCATTTCATAGAGGTACCTTTAGACTTCCAAAAGTTATCCAATATTCAGACATGTCTTTTTAGATTAAAATTTAATAAATTAAATTAAAAATCCGAAAATAAAAATAAATATTTTGGAAGTCAAGCCCGAAGGTGCCCAAGTGCCCATCTTTGACTATATATAAAGGGCAAGTCCCAATTTATCTTGGGCTTGGCCCAATTTATCTTGGGCTTCACTTTATTTATCTATTTGTTGATAACAAATAAGCCTTTATAAATTCCTTTAACTTCCCATATTTCCTTGATGTGGGACCTCAACATTTGCAAACTACTCAACACTTCTTCTGGTGGAATTAGAACCAGAAATGCATCCATGGAATAGGAAAGACAAACTCAGCTTTTCTACCTCCCGTAACATGGGTTCTTGATGTGAAAACTGGCCACAGCTGTCTGAAGGCAACCGTTCAGACCTAATGCATGACATTTGCATTCAAATAATTAGGATTCTAAGATGGTGTTAATTAGGATGTGTATGCTTTAGTCCCATTCATAGACTATTATTTTTCAATTAACCTACTAAGAGGTAATTCACTTCCATTTATTTTTTACTTAAATAAGGTTTTCTTGTATGCTTTAGTCTTATTTATAGGTGAAATTATTGTCACACTCTCAATTACTAGTACCATATATTTTTATCTTAATTAACTATTATATCCTTTAATTTATTAAGATACAAAAAAATGTAGAATTTTTAAAAAAGTATATATATATGTAATGTAGAGATATAGGAAAATGATGTGTGCACACCTGGATCCAACACCCGGTGTGCACACATGATATAAAAAAAAAATGCCCATCACCAAGTCCCTTTTTTTTTTTTTTTTTATGTGGGGGGTGCACAACCAGGTGTTGGATCTGGGTGTACACTAATTATTGTCCATAGATATAACAGACAATTATACTAAAAGAATATAATATTAACTATTTAAAGTGTTATAATAACCTCACCCCTCTTCATAAACTATCCTTTTTCAATTAACCAACTAAAATGGTAACTCATCTCCATCCATTTCTGATTTAACAACTGCATTATAATTCAAATTTAAGTTATTTAACACTTTTTCTCTTCTTCTTCTTCTTCTTTTTCCTTTTTTTTGTATTTATGATCAGAATGTTTTTAAATTAATTTTTGTACATCACGGGACATGCATTTCTCACATTAACTTGATATATTCAAGAAAATATGTTCTTTAGATGCTATTGATCCTAAAATTTAAATCTTAAATTTAACTTATAAAATAATACTTATTTAATTGTGTAGAAAAGATTTTGTTTGGCTTTAATATAATCTGTTTCATATATATTTAATTTTTTTTACCTCAAAATAAACGCCTGTATGGGGATAATGGTAAGGTAGAGAAAGAAATCTAAAACAATAGTGATAAATGCAACGAAAATATGAGACTAAAATTTAAAATTAATGACATATCATTTAAAATATTAAAAAATAATATTTTATTACTTAATAATTAACTCTTTTTGTTTTTTGTTTTTAAACTTACAATATTGTATATATCAACTAATTTAATAATGTGACTTATATTACATCATTAGTTCTAAATTTTCATCCTCCTGTACGTATTATTACTCAATCTAAAAATATGATTCAATTAAATACTATCTCGATCATTCTTCCTTCTGTACTGATGCATAAAGAAGAAAAATCTTGCAGGAAATGAAACGTTTGAGAAGCTTGGCAGCATTGAACTTTCTGATTTCAACGTGAGAGCATAAGCACTGGTACGCTTGTCAATGTCTTCACAAACTTGGCATCATCGCTCAGGGCTTCCTCTCTGATACTTAGCATGTGTTTAAGATTATTGTAAAATATTATAATCGTGAATTTTTTAGCATTTTATTATGAAAAAATTACGTTATTATTTGATAATTACTTTAAAAAGAGTTTTATATATTAATATGATAACAAAATTTTACAAATATCAATTAAAATTAATTTAATTATAATAAATTAATATTTTTATGAAGTATTATGTAAAAAAGTACAGTAAAAAGGCCACCCCACACACGGTACCTTAACTTAGAAGATGCAAGATCGAACTAGACTTTTGGTTTAGGGGGCCAAAATTTTAAATTTTGTCGTGAATCAAAATCAATTCACATTAATATATCTTATGCCAATTTTTAATCATTAGTCATGTAATTTGATGGTTGCTTATAATTTGATCTCTAATCTTTAGATACAAAAAGAAAAACTACTTTTTTATAGTAACTAATTTGATGTGCCAATGTACCACTTATATTATACACACTAAATTTTAAGTTAATTAGATATATTTAATTATTTTATAATAACTGATAATTTAATATTTTTAAATAAATAATATAAAATAATAAAAAATGTTAAATAGTTGGACCTATAAAAATTTATATGAAAAAATACTCCAAAATTATACTGTTTCAATAAATTCTAATTAAAAAAAGATTTAAATAGTATATTTTTAGGGTGAGAATAAAGACTTTTAGTATTTTTTGTGGTGTTTTATTCATTAAAACTCACAGTTTTGAGGGCTGTATTCTTTTTTTTTTTCTTTTTTTCTTTTTTGCAAGTCTAACAAATAAACATTAATATTATATAAAATATAATTTTTTTATATGGTTACATGTATCATATGAATTTTAATTTTGGAACTTATGATATACATGAATAGAATATCAAATCCAAAGTGCCAGTTTGATAAAATATAACTTATACAAAGAATTACAACTAGAATAAAATTTTATGTAAGTTATATTCATGTAATTGGATCTTTACTATTTTTGAATATTTTTTATTACCAAATAAAATTATATTTTTGTAGAATTAGTTACAAAGAAAAAAATGGTCTCTTTACCTAGGTCCTAAATATTTTCTTTAGATTTAAATTGGTCATTATAACTCAAACATCAAAAACAATTTTTATACTAAATAAAAATGAGTAGAAATCCATTTACATGCAAATCTTATACACTATATTTACACAAAATGTTGGTCATTTATCTCTCCAATTTTAATAGTTTAAATTTATTTACTTTTTATTATATTTATTAAAAATAGTTATTTTTTTATTTTAAAAGTTGTAATAAATCTAAACTACTAAAAGTAGAAAAGTAAATTATCAAAATTTTGTGTAAATATGGTATGTGAGATTTGATCATAAATAGATCCCTACTCAATAAAAATTAATGTATCATATTAAACATTTTTCAAAAAATTAGGCAGGTGGTTGCCCCCCTGGTCGTTGGTTAGCTCCGTCCCTACTCTTAGGTCTCTTAATTTGCGCTGCATTTCTGAGTTCAAGTTAGCTTGACGGATCTTATCTCTCCTCTTTTACTTCATGTCTAGGGGTTAACAGTAATGATGCTAACAACAACAATCTCCCATCTACATCCTTAGAGTGGACATATTCTATCAACTTTAGGTTTCTATTGGTTAGAAATTGAAAAGAAGAAGAATAATTTAAAGAAAGATTTATTGCTTTTTTGAATAATACTGTACATACGATGACTTATATATAGGCGTTTACAAAGAGAATATTCAAAGATATAAAGTATATAAAAAAAATATTCTAAACTATAAATTATTTACAATAGGTGTGTTCACATCTTAACATCCCTCTTCAAACTCAAGATGGTTGTAATGAAACCAACTTGAGTTTGGAAAGAAGAGTATGAAAGCATCCAAGAAAATGAGCCTTGGTGAAAAGGTCTACTGGTTGATCAATGGAGCCAATGAAAACCAAATGAACAGTTTCTTGTGCAACATGATGATGAACAAAGTGACGATCAACCTCAATGTGTTTAGTGCGTTCATGGAAAACATCATTATGAGCAATTTGTATGGCACTCTAATTGTCACAATACAAACTAGTAGCAGGCGGTTGAGGAACACCAATATCTTCCAGTAGCCAACGTGAGTTAACTAACTCTGATATGGTGTCTCCAAGTGCTTGATATTCGACCTTTGTGCTAGAACGTGATGGAACTGTTTGCTTCTTGCTACGCCAAAAGATTAAGGGATCACCAAGAGATTAAGGAACCACCAAGAAAGAGACAATATCCAGTGGTGGATTTACGATCATTAGTCTCCAGCCCAATCAGCGTCTGAGTAAGCACGAAGTTCAAGAGATGAGTGAGTAGAAAAGTGAAATCCATGAAACAATGTTCCCTTAACGTAGCAAATAATGCGAAGTATTGCTGCATAATGAGTGGAGCGAGGAGCAACCATAAACTGACTAACAATGTGAATTGCATATGCTATGTCAGGGCATGTCATGGTAAGATAAACCAGACTACCAACCAATTACCAATAGCGAGTAGGATCAGAAAGTGGAGAGCCATCCATAGGTGTAAGCTTGACATTTGGCTCAAGAGGTGTAGAAACACTTTTGCTATCACTGAGTTCAACTTTAGAAACAAGATCAGAGGCATACTTTACTTGAAAAAGTAGGTAGCCATCATTTGAAGATGTGACTTCAAGCCTTAGAAAACAGCTCAGAACACCAAGATCTTTCATCTCAAATTTTTGACTAAGAGACTATTTTAACTCCTCAACATCTGCGATATCATCTCCAGTAATAATCATGTCATCAACATAAAAAAGCAAAAGAACCATACCTCGAGTAGTCTTACGAATGAATAGAGCTGTATCATGTGGACTCGAAGTAAAACCAAACTCACTCACAGTAGTACTAAACTTTGCATACCAAGCTCAAAGGGATTGTTTCAACCCGTATAATGCATGTCGTAATTGGCATACCTTGTTTGGAGGATAGTTGAGCCCAGGAGGTGGTTTCATATAAACTTCTTCTTCTAGGTCACCATTAAGAAAAGCATTTTTCACATCCATTTGAAACAATTTCCATCTCCATATAGCAGTAATAGCAAGCAAACTGCACACAAGTGTGAGACAAGCAACTGGAGCAAATATTTCCTCATAGTCTATTCCATACTCTTGTGTAAAACCCTTGGCAACCAATCGTGCCTTATAACGCTCCACAGAACCATCAAATCATGTTTTGATCTTGTACACCCATTTACAGCCTATTAGAGACTTTTCCGTAGTGAGATCAACTAAATCCCATGTACGAGTGTTCTCAAGAGCCTATAATTCATCTTGCATAGCTTGTTGCCAAAGAGGGTTAACAGAGGTCTCTCAATATGATTGAGGCTCATGTAAAGAAGTAATAGCAGGAAAACAATGATAATCGCGAAGGTAGCTAGGAAGGTTTCTTAC